TATATATATATATATATATAGATATAGATATATATCGGAGACGTATCATATGATAATGACTTTTTTTGGTAAAAAATGAGAATGTTAAATCTTAATTCTTAAATTAAAATAAAAAACTCAAGGTAAAAAAGTACAAACAAAATTACAATGTACCGTGACTATTGTAGTTATCTCCATCATTGTCAATATCACAATTATGAAAGATGAGAAGACTAAATAATAACCTTTAAACTAAAGATCAAAATATTTAATAATTTAATTTAAAACTTAATATGAACACTCTCATGTAAGATCATTACTACTATTATCTCAACAACTACCACCATCACCTATGGATGTCATTACTAACACCACCATATTGTCACTGTCTCAACCACCATCATTGTTGTCGCTCTATGTGGTGATAATAATGGTGGTGGCGACAATACCATTACCATCATTGACATTATTATTGTCGTTATCATCATAACTACTACACATCGTATGAGATACCTTTATTGTTATTTAATATTGTTATTATAATTGTCATTATCACTATTATTGATGTTACCATCACCATTATTATTGTCACTCTCACTTAACGATAATAATGATAATGATAGTGATGATAATAATCGTGAAGATAATAATAATAATTTTATAGGTGAATGTCTATAATTAAATTTTAATCTTGACTATTTTATTACTTTTCTCTATAATCTAATAAATATTATTTAACTCTTAACTTTTACTGCAGTGATCAAATTCTTAAATTTTTAAAAGATTTAAAAATTATTTTCAAATAGGATAACTAAAAGTGGAAATCAAATGAGGAATATTTTTTATTAGTAGATTATTTTGAGATTCAAAGTGGTTAACTCAAGTATATGACATACAATTTTAAATTTTTGTTATTAATATTTTAAAAATAATTATGATTGTCTCATTCAAAATGTCTTAACAATTTCTTCTTATTTTTACAAATATATGTATCTCAAGTATAATTTTCGTATATTTATTATTTCAAACTCTTTACAAATTTATTAAAACGGTTAATATCTAGATTTGATATTATCTTGGCAGCGATGCACATTTTATATGGATATTTAGTATAATTTTTTTATGGTACAGACATTTATAAATATTTAATCTTCTAGTAATTTAGAAAATTATATTAAGTTTATTTAATGAACAGTTTGTTGACTAGCAGTAGCAAGAAAGTGGTATCCATATCATCATCGTCCCTCTAATTCTCATGAACTTCTACGTTGTAGCAAACACTATTCATTCCCATTCATTCAACCACGCTCCACACACAGAGACGAGAGTGAAAATCAATGGACATTGCTATTCTTGCCCGTGTCATATCCAACATCCTTCAATGCACTAACACCTTACTAGCACCCCCAGCAGCTCGCCTTTTCTCAAACGATCTTCGACCCTTGATGAACTATCTCGAGAGGATCCATGCCAAGCTTCAAAACCCCAACAACTCCCGAGATCCCAAGGTTCTTCCTTGGTTACTAGAGGTCAGCGAAGTGGTCAACGATTTGGAGGATTTGATGGTGGATCTTCGTAACAACGCCACTGCCAAAAGGTCTCTCATCAAAGCCACTCAAAACATGGGGCATCGCCTCAAACTCAGGCAACAAATCAAGAAAGCCACTGAGGACCTCCAACGCTTGGCACCGCCACAAAACTTGCCCTTGGCAACCCCGCAAGAGAGCAAAGCAATTACCCCACAAGAGACTAACATCCACAGAAAGTTGACAGAATTAAGCGAGGAATTTCATAATAAAGTTGTAGCCGTTGGAAGAGAAAATTCCAAGAAGGAGATTATAGATCAACTCAAGTTGTCTGTCAACAAGAGTGGAGATACTTCCTTTCCTGTTGTTACCATTGTTGGAGTTGCAGGAATTGGGAAGACTAAACTCGCTGGTCTTGTTTATGGGGATGAGGAAGTCAAATCCTTTTTTGGGTTACAAGAATGGGTTCATGAAACCTTCCTCGTGGAATCCGTCGCAACATGTGTCACTGAAGCAGCTAACAAGGGAAAACACTTTCTTCTTGTGCTGGATGATTTCAAAGATGAGGAATGTCTCCAGAAGTTGCAGCAGAAATTAAAGGAAGCTAGTGGGGTAATACTCATAACTACACGTAGCAATTTTGTTGCTAACAAGATTGGTGGCAAGGTTAAGCCGTATGCTTTGCAAGGGCTTAACGAAGAGGAATCGTGGTCACTGTTTCAGCAAATTCGTGGACAAGGTTCAAGTGACATCAAGGAAGATATTGAACGGAAGATAGTGAGGGGATATTGTGGTGGAGTCCCTATAAAGGTAATAACTGTAGCAAGGTTGATAAATTGCTATGAAACACCATTTTCCGAAGAAGAGTTGAAGGAGGATTTTCTACAGGAGTTGAAGATTACTTATTACGACCACCTTCCCATGCATCAACAGATACGTTTTGTTTATTGTTCGTTGTTTCCTCAAGACCACGAGATAGACGCTGAGAGGTTGGTTCATCTCTGGATGGCGGAAGGGTTTCTCCCTCGGCACCTTTCTGATCCACATGAGTTTGGCTTAGCATGTTTCAACGACTTTGTTCCTTTTGTTTTTGAGGTCGCGGGGAGAGACGAGCTTGGTGATGTGAAGAGCTACAAAATGAACCGTTTAATGCATGAATTAGCGAAGACTGTGGCCTGGGACGATAATGTCATAGTGGACTCAGAAGGGAACGGAGTTCACGAGGGAGTAGTGCGAGCTTCGTTTCATTTTGCGTTGGATATTCAGTGTGGAATCCCACAGGCTTTGTTCGACAAAGCGAAGAAACTGAGGACCATTCTTTTGCTGGGAAACACTAACAATTCGCGGCTTCCACACGAGGTGAAGATGGCCACGTCAACTTGTGATGAAATCTTCAACACTTTCAATTGCTTGCGCGTGTTGGATCTCCATGACTTGGGGATCACGATGGTGCCGAGCTCTATTGGGGAAGTGAAGGACTTGAGGTATCTCGATCTGTCCCATAATAACATAGAGAAGCTTCCTAGTTCAATTACAAAGCTTTTCCACTTGCAGACGTTGAAACTATCCCAATGTCATATTCTCAAAGAGTTGCCAAAAGACTTGGAGGATCTAAGTTGCCTCGTGCATCTTTACTTAGATGGGTGCCTTGATCTCACGCACATGCCACGTGGGATAGGCAAGTTGAGTCATCTACAGACAATGTCACTTTTTGTGGCCAGCAAGAACTACCACATGGGAGGTCTTAGGGAACTCGCGGATCTCGATAAACTTAGAGGGAACTTGGAAATTTTGCATCTGGAGCAAATGAAGTTCTCTGCCTCATTGGACCCCAAAGATAATAAGTATTTGAGAGATAAAAAGCACCTTGACTGTTTGACTTTAAGATGGGATCATGATGATGATGATGAGGAGGAGGAGGAGGAAGACAATGAAGTTGATAAGGAAGACTACAAGTCACTGGAATGTCTCGAGGCAAATTCAAATCTGAGAGTGTTATGTGTCGTGGGCTACTATGCTAACATGTTTTCTGATTGGCTTTCTTCAATTCAGTGCCTTGTTAAGTTTAGCTTGAATGATTGTCCCAATTGCCAATTTCTCCCATCAATGGATCACCTCCCACACCTCAAGGTTCTAGAACTAAGAAGGTTGGACTCTCTTAAATTCATTTCAAAAAACTGTGACCAAACTAGTGCTGATGATGCAGAAGGCTCCTCTTCCTCTCCTTCAATTAGCACACCATTTTTTCCATCGTTGGAGGAACTTACAATCTCTGACTGCCCAAAACTCAGAAGCTGGTGGGAAACTGAGAAGGGGGAAAAAGATAGACCATTATTTATCAGCATTTCTAAACTACATGTCCAATGCTGCCGTGAGTTGCATTGCATGCCTTTGTATCCTTACCTGGATGAAGAGTTGGTCCTTGTGGATTCTAGCGTAAGGCCAATGAGAGACACGGTGCATGCTAAAACTTCAGAAGACTTGCTTCCTTTCACCAAATTGAAGTCCATGGTAATCGAGCGCATTACAGAATCTCCACCAGAGAGTTGGCTTAAAAACTTTACTTCCCTAGAGAACCTCAGAATTCGAGATTGCTCTGAATTAAAGTCTCTACCCCAAGGTTTCAGGTATATGAGCTCACTCCAGCGTCTCTCCATTGAAAGATGTCCGAAACTTGAGCTTGACAAATCGGAGAGTGAATGGAAGGGTCTGAAACAGCTACGTTTTCTGACAATAAGGGAGATTCCAAAGCTGGAGTCCCTTCCAAAGGGTGTTGAGAATGTTACCTCTTTGAAAGAGCTCGGGCTTTATGAATGCAACGCCTTAACTTCATTGCCGGATAGCATAGGCAAACTCACATCGCTTCGTAAACTAGTGATTTGTGAATGCAAAAGGTTGGTTTCGCTGCCCAAAGGAATACAAAATCTCAAGTCTTTAGATACCTTGATCATTACCGACTGTCCCCGGTTATTGCCAAGGTGTCAAAGGGAAACGGGTGATGATTGGCCACAAATTAAACATATCCCAAATATCCGGGTCGACCTCAACTTCTTATCCCATTCCGGATTATACCCATATTATAGTATTTCACCAATGCAATCGATGTATTATAAATATAGTGCTTCACATGGAAACAATTTTTATGAGGACAACTCAGATGGCTGTTGCCTAATGTAACCATTTTCAGACTCTGCTAGTTTAAGGTATTACGTGTACACTCAATTTTTTTATTTATCATTTTAATCTCATTTGATTTTTAAGTTTTTTTTTTATGTTTTTTTTTTTTACAGAATATATTAAAAGGAGTCAGAGGCACATATGCCAATTGGTCTTTTGGCAGGTTGACTTCACTCTTTTCCCAGCTTTTCGCACTCCTAGACTCTTGAGGAGAATGTATCATAAAATGACAAAAAAAGAGAAGAAACGCACGCATACACAGGTGCATGGAGAGGATCACTTGGAGACAGTACAAGAAGAGAAGAGACAAAGGACACAATAATCCGGGTTTTAATTTGCTAGCAGCAGTACACTGAGAATTTAGTATTCACTATTCAGTAAACTTTCTATTGTCGTTTGGGTGAGGAATAACTCATATACTTGATCTATGTATTCTGATACTGGTTGGTTATGCGAATGATGCTTCATCATTGAAGTGTTATATGTTGATATTTTGTTTGAGAAGAGAGCGATTTATTTCTTGTTGCGATGGTTGCTCCCCAGACTCTGTATGATCTGTTCGCTGCCAAACTTACTGCTCTTGCTACTCTCATAGTCGATTTTTGAATGCTCACGTGGTCCTCTGCTTTCATTTTCGTCTGTTAACATGTTGGACTTTAAGGCTCATTTTTTACTTTTCTTTCAAGGTTCTCTATACAACCATGTTTTTGTTAGAAATTTTATCCAAAAATAACAGTAGAAATAAAAAATAAGAATCACAAAAAATTAACTTTCATTCATTTTTATTTACTATGAGTTTAGTTTATCTTGTGTAAAAAAAATTTCAATAACAGTTTCCAATTCCCCCTCTTAATATACGATAGTATTGTATATTATAAATAAGAGTAAATTCAGTGATTCGAAAAAAGAGCAACACATTTCTTATATAGAGTTTTATCCATCATAAAATGTGGTACATTAGGAAGGATTTCGACATGTTAACCTCCAAAACTTTTGACTAAACCACTATATCCCTTATCTGTATGATGTGATAATGCACTCCTTTAATCCTAGTGAGCATAATAAGAGTGTTGATAAGGGACTTGTCAAATAGAGCAAATTACTCCTCATTTTCCTTCAAAAAAATCCCTAAGATTTTCATGCTGGTCAACAAAATCCCGGATACCACAAAAACGTTGGTTTTTATGAACATAATAGAAAGATGATTAGATCGCTTTCACTTTTCATATAAATCAACAACATTTGAAGTACTGATTTTAGTAATATTCGATGATTCATCCTTCCAGATAGCATTATCGATGTTCAACCAACCTAAATGAAAAAGAATTATCTCCTTCCACATTATAATTGTCACCCTTAATTCAAAAAGATCACATTTAATATCATATATAGTAGTAGATTGAGAAACTTCAAAAATACATGCTCATAATCATTTGCAAATAAATATTAAAATTAATGTCATGTTTTACCAATGCATAATATGTATTAATTTATGAATTTAGTGTATAAAACTTGCCTATAGGCAAAAGTCCTACTCTATTAGACTTATCATATAATTTTATGACAAAACTATTAAATTATATTCCTTTCCTTAATGTTTCTGAATAAATTAAGAAATATAATATAATATTTTATCCTAATTAATCTTATTGATATAACAAAATTATTGTGGGTAGATTTTATCACGTGAAGTATGATCCATTACAATTAATGTTTCTAATATGGCCTTGAGACAATATATAATTTTAATCAATTAAAGATTTTGTGACTAATCTTTGATTTATTAAAATTACATTAATCACTAAACATTAAATAATTTTGAATGAAGAGTTAAGCATTTGTATAAACATTTTTAATAATACAAATAAAATAAATAATAATATATACATATTATCCAACTTAATATTGCATGTACAATAAAAATAAATTTATTCATGCAAATTTCAAAAATATGCATGTGATTATTTAATAAATTACAAGTTCTAAACCATTATATAAAATATTTCAACTCAATATTACATGCTCATGTATATAAGTTTTCAACAAAAATAAAACATTTTATATATATTGGAATGTCAAAGATAAATTTCGCACATCAAATGGTAACAAGTCTTTATATACAAAGCTAGAAACAGGAGCATATTTCAAGTTAAATAAATGGTTTAGTGGTTGCTCTCTTTTCCCTATTTTGT